AACATGATCCTTCAATTCATAAAATTAAAGAAAAAAAATCTGATGTGGACAGGTGAATACCACATGACTTTCGCCTATTAAATTATGCAAATTTTTTTCGGCACTTCACTTAAACTTATTTCTTCCAATTATTGTAACTTAATTAGCTGATCCCTCAAAGAGAAGCTGAAAATGAAATCAAAAACGGAAATTAAATATATCGATCAATTTTTGTCGTATGAGAATCAAACTTCTTGCACCTTTTATTTTTTCATAACAAGTATAAAGCTTTCCATAAATATAAGTATATAACACGAGAAAGCGCATGAAACGTTGCATTTCGTTATTTGTTCAAAATTATTATTTTTTTTTAATTTGAAATTGCCAAAACATGAATATTTTCGTAATTTACAACACTTCTGTTATCCGAAGTATATGTCTAAGACCAAAGATTCAGGGAAAAAAAACCGAGTAAGACATATATACATATAGTAAGAAATTTAGAACCAACATATTTCCCAAAGACCAAAAATCGAAATTCATAATTAATAAATTTCAAATAATCTTATAAATGCAATTTTTGATTTTTTCTTATTAATTATGAGGTGTCCGCCGATAACATCGCGGACGAAAACGTCGCAGAAAAAACAACGCAAGGCGAAAACGTCGTGCTACAAAACATCGCAAAGAGAAAACATCGCAGTTCTAAAACATCGTGGTATAAAACATCGTCGTCGAAAATAAAGCGGTTCAAAAACTTCGCAGTTTAAAAACATCGTCGTTGAAAATATCGTAGTAAAAAATAAAGTATCTACAAATCATCGCATGACGATAACATCGCAGACATGCTTTTTTCAGACTTTAATAACTGTAAATAGATATTCCCATAACAATTTGTGAGCGCAAAATAAAAAGTAGGATAATTTGTTTTCATATTTTATATTAACTAATTTTTGCTGAGGAAATAAGAAGGAAACATAAGCATAGAAAATTAATGCAACTTATAGCACTTAATAAAATTTTAAACCGACATAGTTAACTAACAAAGACCATTAATAAATAATTTTATATAGTTTTTACTGGTAATTTTTCATAAAAAGTATAATCTATAAGTTGCATTTAATTTTCTATTATGTTTCCTTCTTACTTTTTCAGCAAAAATTTATTAGTTAATCAAAAAATGTGAAAGTAAAAATTATTATTCTTTACATCTTGCGCTCTCAAATTATTATGGGAATATCTATTTACAGTTATTAAAGCCCAAAAAAAGCATGTCTGCGAAGTTATCGTCATGCGATGATTTGTAGATACTTTATTTTTTACCACGATATTTTCGACGACGATGTTTTCAAACTGCGAAGTTTTTGAACCGCTTTATTTTCGACGACGATGTTTTGTATCACGATGTTTTAGAACTGCGATATTTTCTCTTTGCGATGTTTTCTCCCACGATGTTTTGTAGCATGACGTTTTCGCTGTGCGTTGTTTTCACTGCGACGTTTTCGTCCGCGATGTTTTCGGCTGTAACCAATTATGATATTCAATTTTTGGTCTTTGTGAAATATTAGTTCTAAATTTCTTAATTTATATCTTTAATAATAATTTTTCTGGAGTTGCCGATCGCAATAAAAAAGGCAGTCTCAACAACTATAGGTGTAATAACAGTCCTATATACAAAATTCTAACGTCCCACGGCTAATTGTTTTTGAGTTATACGCGTGTGTATCTGTGATAATGGCAAAGCCTCGAGGGCTATCTGCCTAAGACCTAAGGGGAGGGATGCCTTCGTGGAGGACTTTCTAAGGGAAACTGGCTCATATACACGTTACAATGGGGAAAACCACGAAAACGCTCATGCAGCCAGCCCGTTCGCGCGATTCGAACCTCAACCGAACTACCAGTGTTCAGCAACTTTACCGCTCGGCCACTGGTGGGCCTTTTGAGTTATACAAGACACATACGTACGTACATACATACGCACAGATGTTAGGAAAAAAAATTTACAATCCGTTTTGGCATAAAAATAAAGAGTCGTTTATTTCATCCGTATGTTCGAATGTTTAAAAAATAAATAAATAAATAAAAGTAATAATTTAAAAAAAAAAAATCTGAAATATTTCAGATTTTAAATTACGTACAAAGGAACGTTTCTTTAACATTTTGCGTGCTACCTTTATTTATTAAATATCACGTTCTTCGACTTAAACCATAAAATTCAGTTCAACAGCAATATCGCAAAATAGTCTTAAAATGAGCATATCCTTTAGAATTTCCGATACAGAGACTCGCACGTTGGAGATAAAAATGTTTTTTTCTGTACAACGTTTCTACTGCTCGCTTTGAAATCCTTGAGTTCGTTAATCAAAAATTCATTAAAGTTTTACAAAATAGGAAATCGACAATAAAACAAATTCCAAATTTCAAATTTGGTCTTCCACATGCCCATATTCGCAGTAGAATTACGCGTCATTCGAAATTCGATGGTCTCTATGTACCATTGTTTTATCACAATGCGATAAATATGCACACATTTACGCAGATTTTTTCATTATTTGATTTCATCAAATATAACGCAGGACTCTAATATTTGGTGGAAACGGTTTGAAAAGTGAAACGGACCAACCAACGCAAAAATAAGTGAACCAACGCAAAATCGCAAAACGAAAACTGTAGTTCCTTCAGGGACAAAGCCCCTTTGGACTTACACACACACACACACACACACAAAAAAAAAAAAAAAAAAAAAAAAAAAAAAAAAACTAATGTTTTGGTTTAAATTCGAAATTTTTCACGACTTCAATACTTCTTTTACTCTACACAAGGAAATGAGAACATGGCAAGATATTTTAAAGCACAAAAGCATGAATATTTTCGTCAAATACTTTTAATAATCTATGAAAAGAACTGTAGCTTGCTCTTTATAAATTATGAAAAATACACCTTTACAGCTACTAAAATCCATTCGGCGTTTACTACTCTAAGAAAGAATTGACAAACATTCTTCATAAAAGTCTTGCAAACAAAAAAAATTACAATCTGAAAATTTCACATTATTATCGAAAAATTACCGTCGTAAACAAATAAATATGATTAACGTAGTAAACAAGTAAACATTAAAAATTCGAAATAAATAAATAAATGAAATAATTAAAAAGATAAAATTGTAAGATTAAAAAGAACCTGCAATCCAACTCTGGCATGCAGATTTCAGTGTAAAAGAATCTTGAACAACAAGAAGTAGTTAAGAGAGGTCTACTAATTTAAGGATTACAAATTAAAAATTATATAACATAAATCTTATCCCTTAAGAATTAAAATTATACAATATAAATTTTATAATTAAAATGAACTGTTCGGAATGGACAAGAGGGAGTATATATTCTCACTGCAAATTAATGGCAGTTGAAAACTTACTCATTTATTATTTAATTCAGTGATTTATTTTCCTGCAGGCACAAAAAGGCTTGCAACAAATATTTCTCAAAACGCACTTTTTTCCTGAGAAAAGGGCCTGGACACAAAAATTTGCTTACTGGAAACAAAATACTTTCCAAATGTTTAAAAAAATCCTCATATTAACTTTGTAGCAAGGCATACACCTGCAATATACTTTTCTTGCTTTGTATTCAGCACAACTTTTGTTCAAAATATTTATTGCTCACATTTTTTATAAATAATTCTTTAGTTAAATATTCGTAAAGTATGTTTGCTTTTTTTTATATATATATATATATAAAGAACAGTGCTATTTTTACTTTATTGTACGAAGTAAAAAGGAAGTATTGTAATCGCGAAAAGTTACAGGCACCAAATTTCAACGAAAATCTCTCTTTTCACTGCTATCGATGCAATTTAACGATGTTTTTGCGTGACATCTGTACGTAAGGGCGGAATAAAAGACTCTTTTCTTCTCCCCCAAAAAAACTTATAAAACTGATTTAAAATAAATTCTGAAGATAATTTTTCGTGGCGTCTGTGCGTACGTACGTATCTCGCATTACTCAAAAACGAGTAACGTTAGAACGTTGAAATTTTTTATATAGGACTGCTATAATATGTAGATGTGCACCTTGTATTTTGGTTGCAATCGGCCGAAAAAAAAATACGTCAACATATGTATATATAATGTTGTATGATCTTAAATTCACTTGGTGCGAAATCGAGTTATTCTACTACTTGCGCAATAGCTGCAAAGTAAGTTAATAAAAATTTATTTACTAAAGAAATATTGATTATATTATCTCCTAAGATTAATTTTAGTAGAATTATCTAAAAAGGGTGAATCCATAGTTAGTAAGTTTAATTCCGAAAATTCTTTTAAAGTAACTTGAATGTAAATTGTTAAAAATGTTTAACGGGGACTTGAATTAAATCATGAATAACAAAATTTCAGTTGTAAAAAGAAATTAAATTCAAAGCAAGTAATCATTGCCATTGATCGGAAATTAGTTGACTTTTCAAGGGGAACAAACCAACTTCCGTTCAATGAACACTAATTAAGAAATAAATACGAAGGTGTTTCGTCCTTTACTCAAGTAATAAGGCGATGCCAAACTGGCAATTTAAGTTAGGCCAAATATTTGTGTGAATTGACGGCATCAAGAACCAAAGCAGAGCACTAAAGAACTCATTCTGATTAAGCATTTTCGCTAATTCAATTTTGAGTGAAAAGCAATGTCTCTTACTTCTCCTAAAGTCTCTTACTTCGATAGGATCATTATTCTTAAATCAATAATACATATTTTGTTAAAAATGCGCTCTTCAACTTCTACACAAAACACAGGTGGTACTGCTTCAACATTTGTCCTTTGTTCTACTACACCCTCAGGCATCGATTGTGAAGTGAATGAACAGATCACGCTCCAATTAAAACCAAAGCCCACGGCACTATTATCTCACAATAAAGCGCAAAGCCAAAGCACATGGAACGTTTTACTGACTTGATATCCACAGGATGGCGCCACAATCACGCCAAAACCAACTTTGTAATAATTCAGAAACTTCAGCTGATAATATTTTATTCTATTAAATTTTATCATAACTCTTTTTTTTTTCAGACAATTAAATCAAACAAAAAAGATGCATATATTTTACATGTTAAGAACTCAAGTAGATGGTAGGCGGGGCAGAAAGATTCTATACATATTTTGACCTCAGCGCGCGTGTCCAGGCGGTTTATTCTTTTCTTGCATGGATGGTAATTGCAGAAAATTGGTATCTGGAAAACAATCGTTGAGGCATTTTTGAAACCTTTAATGAAGCAGTCGTGATTCAGGTAAGTGCGTAAACGGATAATTTATGATCTGCTGATCTTAGGAGAAACTGGATGAGAACTGAACACGGTAAATTGGAAGTACGGGTCACACGAAGAAGCGAAGAAAAACCTGTAGAAGTATAATCTTGTCTTAGATGCTTCCTCGTTTTTCACTGGCTGGTAAATCTTCTAAAAAAGTGGTTCATTTGAACTTCTTTTGCCTTGTTTGGTAAGAATAGATAATCCTAATGGAACGTTCAATGAGTAGTTGAAAAATGGCTGTAGGAAGCTAAATGGCAGGGAAAAAAAAAAAAAAAAAAAAAAAAAAGAATCTCATTCATTGTTTAAAATACTTGGTCAGCATCTAACATCTATGCTTTTCATTACTATTGATATAAATAAAATGCCGAGAAACACAAGAAAAACAGTCGGCTTGATTATGAGAAAAAAAGGACAGCATGCAAAATAATAGTTTATGAACCATAGCACTCAAATTATACTATAGATATACAATACACTGAACTATAGCAATTTTACAGCACTGAACACTGCTAGTTCGACCCTGGTAATCAAAAGTTGGCTGTATTTTCACGAATAGAGCTAGTACAGCCTGTTACTTTAAAACAGGACTTTTTCCCAAAAGGCCATCTCCCGCAAAATGATCATGACTCATAACCATGGCAACAAGAAAAAGGTCGAAAATTCTAATTTGCTAAAAATCCCTTAACTCTCTTTTCAGTGACAACGACGACACATCTCACAATTGATGGAATGAAGAAAGTGTCACTAATGTTAATAATAAATAATGTCACTAATGTTAAATAAATGTGTTTAAAAGTAATAGATTACAGTTCTATTTGGTTATGAAGGGAGTTGCAGTGAGGGCATACCTGTTATTAAGTGTTATAAATCTATTTTATTTATTATACTAATGTTGTAACATAACACTTTTTTCAAAATGTTATTAAGAAATATATATGAAATTAGTTTTAAATGATTTACTTGTTGTGCTCATAAACAACTCTTTTTAGTCCAAAGGGATTTGAATCCCGAAGGACTATTAGTTTCGTTTTGGCATTTTGCGTCGGACGGATAAATGTCGGTTCACGCTTATTTACCTTGAAGAAGAGCCGCTGAATTTAAACAACTCGCATACTCATTTTTATTCGGGGGGGGGGATTAGAGCGTTAAACTAATTTACTCATTTTCAATGGAACTATTGTCCTAATCTGTAGTCAGTCAACTCCTAATTTTGACTCTGATCTTGCTGCATTCTTAAGAACGATGGATGGATGTCACATTCTGTAATTAGGGCCAGCTACCCCAAATTCAGATCCACCGTCGTTATCTTCGTAATCAAGGTTTTCTGAATTGCTTTTGCATCGCAGATATATTTTGATGCCCATTATTTGTCCCTACTTTTTAAGAAAAATCTTAGTCCCCATCCCGAAGATAAGGCTACTCTGATATTTATTCATTCAGGGTACATTGATTAATAGATAAAATCACGATTAAGGCAGATTAATTATTTTCAAATTTAAGGTAATGTGAATAACCTGATTTCCTTCATAGTATAAAAAATGCAAAAAGTTCATTTTTGCTAGCTGCTTCGGTGTACGATCACTTTTGTGATCTGTTTTATCTATGCCTCCTTACATTTTCAATTTTAGAAAAAGAAAATAAGTCAGTATTAAAAATTAGAAAATTTGGTTTTACTCAAAATCACATGAATATGATATGAAAAAATATAGGGCTTTATAATCGAATTCAATTTCGGGTTACAGCGCTTTTTCTGCAAATTCTTAAAGTGTGCAAACACTTTTGTAGTTCGATCCGCGTTCAGATTCCGGCGAACAGATTGGCTGCATGGAAGTTTTCGGTTTCTTCCATTAGCAATTTGAATATGAGCAAGTTTACTTCAAAAAGTACTCGACGAAAGCATCTCTCTCTTTTAAGGCAGAAAGCCATTATGTGCTTTGCTTTTCCAAGTAATCCAAATTACAAACGTGCAGTACATGTGAAAATGTGAATTTAAATAAACGTTGGCGATGATGAAGAGTAATTATTAAATTTTAATTTCAGAAGTGTGGATGCATTTTCTAGATAACTCAGTTGTGGATAATTATTTAGCAGACAGCGAAGTCACAAGAAAATATATTGCATAAGTCCGCTTTCTGCAACACCCGTAACTTTTAGATTTAATTTAAAAAAGCTAATTTGAATCAAAAAATCTTCATTACTATTGGACGTTTGTTTGATAATGATAACAGTGTCTTTTGTGATCGCTCGTCGACACCGGAAAGAGAAGGGAAAAAGGAGAGAAAAAACGTACGAAGAGGGAAGGGAAAAAAAAAGCGCAATGAATCAGAAGTAATGTTCATGAGAGCATTGGCTACAATGAAGCATTCAAAGAAGAGTACGCCCATTTGGGAATCTACAACCAGACTTCGCAACCCTTTCGCAGCCTTGTAAAAGGTTTTGACCTCTAAGGCGCTCCAATCGCGGTCTTCAGCATCACAATTGCCATTCAGAAGCTCAAGAAAACAATAGATGTTAACGCGCGTTGCGTGGTCGAATCAGTTGGATTATGGACTTAACATTTTAGACAGCATTAGCGAAAGAACAGACGTGATTGTTTTGCAAATTCTTGTGATACCAATGATTTTTTTCATGTTCAAAATATGGCATTAATTCAGAACATGTTTCGGTAGTTTTACTTTCAATGAGCTTTAGCTGATCGATGCCTTTGCAGAATAGTTTTTACGACTGACTTGTACAGGTTGAGATAAAAAAGTCCAGCAAGCTCCGGACCACAGAAATGCGGGATTTTTGAAAATGTTGATTTTTTTTAGGATTACATATGCTGCACATATTTAACAGAAATGACTACTTGCATAGTCCTTTAAAGAAAGAAAATTTAACACTAAATGAAAAGCAAAAGAAAAATACTGTCTGCCAACTAATTACAACAATTCTGCAGAATTTTAATTCAACTGAATAGTAAAATAACTCAATAGAATACTAATTCGGTTAAATAAAAAGAGGTTCCTTAGAATTTTAATTCCACAAAATTTTAAATTATTGTACCTTCGAAAAGAAGCTAAATAGCAGATGAAATGTCAGGATGATCATCTCCATGACTGACAGTAACGGCATCCTCAATAATACGAATTGCTTCAGTTTGTGGAAGAGCTGGTGGTGACAGCAAATTTGGTTGACTTGAAGTTGCTGGCAGTGGGCTGTCAAGTGCGGACACAGCAGCTACTGCGTCTTAACTATTGTTTTTGAAAATCCATCACAACATAAACGGCGCTCCCAGAAAAATGAGGCGCAACAGGCGATTAATCTTGAAAATGCATTCCTAAGTCTACGCTAGAAATCTGAAATAATCGGATAACTGATAGCCGGATTTTTTAATATCAACTTTCATAGTTCAACCCAGATTATCACAGGAAAAACGTTCTGTATTAAAATTACATATATTTAAAATATACAAGTCTTGAATTGCCTAAAATTTACAGCATGTTCTACGGGAGACAAAACCGGAAGCCTGAGGTATCATACACAAACTAAGCTGAATAAGCGGAAGCTCAGATAAAACCAAATTTTGCAGATATTTCAAAGAAAAAAACTGCTATCATCTTTAATCTTGTGGAAAATTCACAAAAATTCATGTTATTCTTGAGGTATATCTAGTATTATACAATCAACTCCCAATTTACCGAAGCTGGATTAATTGGATTGAGGATTAATCAGTTTTCCCTGAAAAAAAAATCGATTTGCTTATCAGGAACGATCAAACGATCAAAAAACGCTGAACGATAAATATATATATATATAAACCATTAGGGTAAAACAAAACAGTTTACGGAATATACACCCCTCCCCCTCCCCCCCCAAAAAAAAAGAGAGAGAAGGGGAAGAAATATTTGGGATTTTTTTTTTTTAATCCGCAACAGCAGGCTATTTAACTGTACGTAATCTGAAACTGAAGTGTTAAACCATCCATTAAAAGTAAATCGCTGAATAATAAAAATAAATCATGTGTTCAGGCATTTATTTTTCTGTTTCATATTAACTCTTACCGCAAAGCAAGAACAAACAGTAAGTGCATTAGATATACATATATATTTTTTAATATTTATTGACTTAATTTATGTAACCAAATGTACTTCTTTTTCAGACTAAACTGCTTGAAAATACCGATAAATCGCTCATAATACTTTTCTGTTCATTATGGGTTATTTTCTTTACCTGCACTTTTGAACTGCTCTCGACCGTCACTAACCGTGACTTATTTTAGTCAAGAAAAATTGACAGAAAAGGCCTTATTAATAAAAATGATGTTTCACCTCAGATAATCGAAAGTTCAACTGTATTCTAACTCATATCAAGCTTTATAAGGTATTTCTCCCGCCTTCCTAGCGTGCCTTCGTGGTGTAGTGGTTCTGCACACTGGGGCCGGTATTCCAGAGGTCCGTGGTTCGATTAAAGTCTCTACAGTGGTGCCCCAAATAAAAGGGTGTTGGATGATGATTCTCCTCACCCGAGATTTGGTGACTGGGTCCCCTAAAAACCCGTCACCCTTTAAAAGGGGGAGTATATAAGGTATTTCTCCCGTCTTCCTAGCGTGCTTTCCTGGTGTAGTGGTTTTGCACGCTGGGCTGGTATTCCAGACGTTCGTGACTCGATTCCCGGCGAAGGAGGTTGCTAATTTTTCATCTCTCCGGCTACTTCCAAAAATACCTAATGTCTCAACAAGCTGTCTAAAAAATAATACGATATTCTATAAAACCAATTTATTTATAAATACTCTAAGTGCTACGTAATAATCAAGAAGATCACTGAGCGCTTGTCATTAAAGTCTAAGTTCCACTCAAAGCTCGGCTCAACAGTCGCCAAGCGGATAAGATCACTGAATACTAGAAGCCGGATTCCAGTTCAAATCCCGGTGAACGGGGTGCTATGTATGGGAATTTTCGTAATTTTCCTAATGCGTAATGTGAAAACGAGCCAGTTTACCTAAGAAAGTCCACCACGAAGACATACCTTCGCTCAGGCAAATAAATGCGCTTTAACATAATCAAATAACAGATAGTTTGAGTAATTGGGTTCCGCCACTTGTAGCATAGCAAAGTGAATACGAGTTAATTTCCTCCAGAATATCCTTTACCGAAGCATTCTTACGACCCCAGCTCTAAAGTCTTGTCATAACAAATTACTAAATAAATTTAAAGAGACATTAATACTTCTGATTCAAAAGCTTCTACTGTTGCATCTTAATACAGC